GATTCATTGACATCTTAACAATTATGACATTTGTAAAATGCGTAGATATTTGTGACTACTGATCTACTAAACAAGACATAAGTGGAGTTTTATTTACATTTAGTCAATATATGTCTTACTAGCGGTTTCAAAATACAGTTGACCCTCTCAAAACCGATCCTGTCAAAGCCGATAACCTGTCAAATCTGATAAAAAATTAGTCTACCAAGTCCGTTCCTGTTATATAAATCTAATAATTCTACTATGTTTTCAAATCCGATAACCTTTTAAAGCTGATACAAAAACTGTCCACCATGCATACCGATTCTGAGAGGGTCAACTGTATCATAAAGTATTTGACATTAACAGAGGTACTAGCGAATGATGATCCCTTTCATTTTACATAGCAATTTCATAAATCATTCAATAAAAATCTTATAAAAGCTATTTCACCTGGGTTATACCTTTGCATAGATGAATTAATATGTCAGTAGATGGGTAAAATAGATAAGGGTCTGTTTTAGTGAAAAATACTGAGAAAACCACATCCAGTCAGTTGTAAATTCAAAGCCATTGCAGATGTACAATTCAATTTGTTCTTGAGGTTAGACCCAGTAAAACCTCCGGACCATGCTATAAAAAAAAAATTCTCAGATCGATATACACCAACCGTTGCATCAATATTGAAATTAATAGAGCCATGATTTTATAGTAGTAGAACAGTTATTGCTGATTCATGGTTCAGTAGTATAGATGCATGTATTACTTTGTATAACCATGTGATTTATTCTATTTTACAAATCAAGAAATGGCATTATTGTTCTAAAAATATTCCTTATGATATCACCGATGCTCTTGAAAGTGCATATGGATCATTTGTTAGCTGAACTTGCAAAATAAATAGTACTAATTTAACTGTATGTTCAATTCGTGATCGCAAAAATATAGTTCTCCTTGCTAGCTGTTCTATAACAGTTCCTAGATCAGAAGTAAAGTGATACATTAAGGGTTATGGTAATGTAATATTTCGTCAGCCTGTTATATTTGATGAGTTTTGTAAATTTAGATTAGCAGTAGATATATTTAATAATTTACATGATAATATGCTTTCTTATCATGATGTTCTTGTGTCTAAACATTCAGTAGATCGTATTTTTGCCTTCTATTTTACTATTGCAGAGTTAAATAGCTTCTTCGCTTATTGCCGATTTGTCTTAGAAAAAAAATATAAAGCACGTAAATTTTTGTAAATGATTAGTAAAATCAATCTTTGAATACTATTCTGGTACTTCGGTCACCGATCGAACCAAAAAAAGACACAAACCAGTTTTGGATAATTTGGAGCATCGTCTTACAAGCTTCAACAATAATCTTGAACATTTACGTGCTAAAAGAAAATATGTTCAACTTTTTTGTGTGAATTGTTATAACTGTACAACTACTTGTTGTAGCTGTACAGTTTCACAAGGAATGTGTACAAATTGTTGGGCTCAGCATATTCATTTGTTGTATGGTGCAGATGTAACAAGGTTAAATATTTTTTTTATTTATTGCCCAAGGTTTATTTTATTGTTTTTTAAAAGTAAATTTTAATATTTTTTTATAGTGAGCCACCAGAAGGTTTTTAATGATGTATTAAATTTAGTACACCTATATTTGCAAAATTATAACAAATTTTAAAGTTAATTTTTTTTAATATCTATATTATAAATAAAAATAAAATTTGTATTAATGAATAAAACAATATATACTAATTTTTAATTATTAAAATTATTTGATTTTATTAAATTTTAATATCTTTATAAATTTTATAAAAGTGTCTATTTTTAGTACAAACTAGTAAATCCAACCTATTAATTTAATAAAATATTTAAATTAAAAATAATATAGTATCAAGTTGATGATTTTAAAAAACAGACATTTTGTAATCTTTTTTTTTGTAATTATAAATAAAAAATTTACTAAAAATAATTGATAATTATTGAATAAAAGTTGCCAATAGAATAATTATATTTTAAAATACTATTTAATTATTTACATATTTAATGTATATAATATTACTAAATTAAAAAACTTGTTAAAATAAAAACTACATGTTGTAGTACTAGCCTTGAAACTGTTTTATTCATATCAATTAGAACTTATTTATGTCAATAAGAACTTATTGTATATAATACTTATTTTTAATCTTTAGACTAGTCAAGAAGTAGTAAATAATGCAATAAATACAGATACTGATATTATATATAAACTAGATAATCCCCTGATTACTATATCAAGATCACGGAAGGATTAATTAATAATACCCTGACCGTATGTGAATAAGCGGAAACGAAGTTTACGCTAATTCCTAACGGATCAGGATATTATTATTACAAACTCACTACCCTTATTACCTACGGTCAATTTTCGAAAAAAACCTCTAATCTTAAATAATAACTACCAGGTTAGGTCAGACATGCTACATATTTAATTTTGCTTAAAATAAATAAATATCCATATCGAATAATCAAGTAGTACCAATTCGATCTATTAAATGCACTTATGGGGACTTGCTCTCGCATGCAGTTTCCATTAAGTTCTACTTGGGCAATTACAATTTATAAATCACAAGATCTAACATTACCATAAGTTGTAATAAATATTGGAAATAAGGAATTTGAAACAGGTTTTACATTTGTAAATGTATCACCCTTACTGATCTTTTTGATAGTAACTTTTCTTTTGATAGATTGCAAAAATTGGGGCAAAATATATATTTACAACAAAGATTAACAAAAGAACAAAGATTACTTTTTTTATAAATTTATTATAAATGTAATCTTAAAAATTATATAAAAAATTATAAAAAAATATATTTTTTAAAAACCTAATATTAAATAAAAATGTCGACGTTTTTATTAGTAGTAAAAAAAAAAATTTTTTTTTTTTATTAACGCTTAATAAGTCATTACGATTAGTCAACACTGGTTTTGATTGTAAAATGGAAATAAGTTCGGAATCAACTTAATTTGAAACAGATTAACACAATATTTTTTTAAAAAATAAATCCTAACCTTAAAAAAATTCCTACTTACGAGATATACATTATATAATTTGTTCAAAAAATATTTTTTTCTTGAATTTTTTTTGATTAGTTAATCTATCCTATCAGGTTTTGCAGTTTTTTTTTCACATGTATAATTTATTTTAGTATGATTCCGAATATAAAAATAACACATGATAAATATCCGTTAGCCCAGTTGTTAATACTACATTAATACTTTATTTGTAATATAATAATAATTTTTATTCTTAAAAATATAAAAATATATACAACAAGAAAAAACTTAGTACAATTGTATTTTAAAATATTTAGAATAGATTAAATAAGGTATTGGGAAAACAGGAAACAACTGAATTGACAAAATAAAACCATGCGTGTAAACAAAGAATGTAAAAAAAATTATATATTCTTGAAAATAAAAATAATGTTGTCATTGTGCTTTTAAGATTAGCCAGAATTAAGCTGTCATATTCATGTAAGAAAAAATCTGCCGGATTTAAACATTTTAAGCATGATTGGTGGCTTGATCCTGGTTTAAAACAAGATGATAGCCCCAGAATAAAAATCCCTAAAATATATATATTTTTTTATTTTAGTGTTAGAAACTAAAATAGGTTATGAAATTATTTTAAAAGCATGAATTAAAAATTGGGTATGTACGATTAAATTGTGATATAAAATAGAAGCAAAAAATTTACCAAATTTTTATTTGTGTAAACTCCGATTGAAAAGTAAAATAAGATGCAAGGAGGGAAAGAAAATCATTGCTTTGCATTTGTATAGAAATTATAGAAATTATTGAAAGAGATTAGTGACACTGACATGTGGTATACCATGGAGTGCCCGGAAAGTACCGACACAATGATTTATTATTGGTTTGTAAACATTATTCATTATCCATTAAAAAAGTGAATCAATTAATTGGTTCATCATCAGAATAAATTCGGAAAAGTGACAAAATACGTATGTATGAATAGTCTTATAATGTTAAACATGTCTTTGAGGAGAACATTGCAGTCAGGGGAACTTTAAAAAATAAATCTTGTACTTTTATGATAACGTTTTTATTGCGCGGAAACCTTAAGATATCAACAAATAAAATAAAGATTATTTATTCAAATTTTTAATATGTAAAAAAATGTAAAATCGATATTAGACCAATATAGATTTACATAAATAACATGACATATCTTTGATCTATATTGTAAGCTATGTCTTCGCCGATTTTGAAGAACAAATAAACAGCCTCCCAATAAAAGGTACTAATACGAATTTCCGATAGACCAAATCGGGATCGACGAAGTTATAAAATAGTATTATAAAAGAGAAACACTGCATAAAAAAGAAAAACCTGCATACAATGGGTAGCATTATACAAGTTTTCAAAATTCACGAGCCTCATTATCATTATGTACCAGTACCATGAACTAAGCAAGCAGGATCTGTTATGTGTTCGGAGCAAAATAATTAATTACATGGCATAAAGAAGTGATGATCGATAGCTGATCCTTATACGTGCATGATCACATGATACGTACGTATGTGAGTACCTCGGAAATCAAAAGATAATGACTGACGACTGAAACAAATTAATTGTAAATAAAACACGCAAAATCTCTTTTATGTAATAAGAATCATATTTCTTATAATTTACATTACAAGAAATAATTGTTTTTTTTTTCCAAGACACCTTGATTATGTACAAGAGAATTAAACTAAGTATTAAAAGAAATTAAGATCAGAACAATTGTATTATCAGAAAAAGGAAAACTATAGATGAAAAACGAGATTTTTGTTTTTTTTTTTTATGTATGGGGTGAAAAGAAAATGGTTTAAACTGATGAGAATCATTGTAAAACCTTGAATGTTCAATGATGGGAATTTTTTTTTGTTTTTTTGAAAAAATAATTCGCATACAAAGAAATCATGTTTTATCTTAAATCATATGATAAAAATTCGATTTATGGACTTCATGTCAAGATTCATCAGTAATAGTAAGAGTATTATCATTTCCGGCGGTTCCGTAATCTACTTGCATTTTTTTCAAATCACGATATGAAGGTGAATCTTTATAAGCAATTCCAGCCTTCATAGCAGCGGCTAATCCTATGAATAGAGCATTTCCAACTTTTTCGTGCACATTATATTGTTGATCGATCTCTAGAGCCAAATTGATACCAGTACGAGAAATTTCCCAAGCTTTATCTTGCAAACCGTAAGCTTCATCAATAACTTTAATTTTATTCATAGTGTAATTAACAGTCGCTGATATAGCATCCGGAATTGGTGACTGTTTAAGCGCCACAGCACTTGTGATTGCTGCCTGAATTATGTGTTGTGATATTCCGGGACCTTCAGACCTGCTACGTTGCGAGGTAGAGGAAGAAACTTGTGTTTTTGAGGAATCATCAGTTTCATTAGGATCTTCCGATAAGCCTGTACGATCCATAAAGTCTCGTAATTTTGCTACCAAAGCATCTTTTCGTGATTGATCAGCATGAACTAAATAAAAAATAAAAAATAAAAAATTTAGTTTATAAAAATATTGAACTATAACATATGGAAATGGTCATGAATAATATATATATTATATAAACAAAGCGTACTTGGAAGAGCTTCGAGCATATGTTCTAAACCAAGAAAATAGAGATCCAAAGCACAATCAGGATTTCCTTGATGATCTTCTTCGACAGCAAAGGCAGAGAAAGCAATAGCCTGGTCAATTTTCTTTCTATTTAATTTATTAGAAGGTTTCCTTCTTCTATGAGGATGTGATGTGGTGGGTGGTTGGGAAGGGGGTACATTAGACATAGAATTACGACGATTATTGTTTGATGTAGTAGTTGCTGGAGCAGGCTGATTTGTTCTGGCAGAAATAAGGTTACTCATGTTACTGGCTTCCGGATTAGAGACGATGGCCGTAGAAAGAGGATTTTTTTGTGAGGGTTGTTGCTTTTGATGAGCTACCCGTCGAGAAACACTATGAGTTGGTTGTTGAGGAGCAGTTGGAGAAGTTAAATCATTTGTACTAGAGGAAGGTAGATTTTGAGAAGATTTTTCTTGTTGACTAAAATAACCACTCAAAGGAAACATAGATAAAGAAGATGATAAAAGTTGTGTGGGAAGAGAAGATGGGATAGTCATATTGCTAAAAAGACCTTTTGAATTTTGAGAGTTCGAACCATGATAGGAAAAGGCAGTTGCTGCCGTATCAAACATTATTTACGAAAAGATAATTTTATGATGGAACTATAGTGTACGGCAAAAAAGGGATGTCAATAAACTTTCAAAATTCAGTTATCGAAATCAACTCAGTTGGGAGAAAAATCAAAGGTATTGGTATTGTGCGAACACGAGCTATTTATCTACGAATGATGAAAAAAAAAGTAAGTTTACAGTAATGATATTATATATATATAAATAATAAATATATATAAATATATATATACGTATATATATTGCATAAATAGGAATAAGGTAAAATAAGCCGCGTTTAGGTTAATTGTATTAACTGTATTAATTGTATAGATTTGGTATGTATTAAGATGCAATACTACATCACATTATCACACCATTTTCTTTCTCTGCTCGTTTTGATTGAAGTAGACCGAATAGATAATTTTTCAAAATCGGATTCAGGGTCCACCTTATATTTATCAGAGAGAGAGCAGAGAGATATTTAATATACGGATAATAATTCCCGTTAATTATTTAAAATCGAATCAGATGGTAAAACAAAAACTCTAAAAAAGAAAAACATGTCGAAGTATGATTGGTTCATTTAGAATCACAAACAAGCAACGTGTTCAATTCGCTTTCACAAACAAAATCTTACCGAATAACGATGCATAAAACGATTCGTTCAAGAACAATGGCAAAGTTCAATAAAGATGCTCTATTATTATTATTATTATTATTATTATTATTATTATTATTATTATTATTTTTATTATTATTATTATAATTATTATTATTATTATTAAATGTATCATAAAGAATGTAGCTTTGATATAATATATAAGAAAAGTGTTAATAAATAAACTTTGCAAGAGCAATTAAAAAGTATATTTGTTTTTTTTTTTGGAAGTGATATTTAAGATCTAGTGTGACGATTGAGTGTGTTTACTTGATCCGAACGCAATCCAAACAAGAACATACCATTTTAAGTTGACTTCATTTTAGTGCCATATATATAACATAACGTTCTAATCTAGATCTACTCAGAACAGCCACGCATTTTGTCGCAGTAGATTTCTCTCTAAAGATCTGTTGTGTATATATTTTCGTTGATTTGTGGTTTCGGTTAAGGTTAATCACATTCAGGAACATTTGATTTCATGCCCATCTTTATAATATATAGGAGTAAAAGCATATTCGGATGACTAATCTACTAATCTTACGTCATCATATATGAATATTAGTTATTATTCAAAAGTCCCACTCACGATCCCTTTTTTTAAAGTAACTTTATATAGAGATCACGATGATCATTGTGATCTATATACCGGGTGTTTTTTTAAAGTAACTTTGTATATATATAGAGATCACGATATATACTGTATAAAAAAATGGACCGTGTAGTGGAACTTTTGAAACGCCCGGTCCTGGTATACGTACGTATACAGTTTTTATCTACAAATCTGTTTAATGTTAATGAATTTTGTATACTTAATACTTAATATACTGCGTATACTTAATATGCTGCGTATACTTAATATACTGCGTAAACTTAATATACTACGTATACGTACTTAATATACATACTACGTACGTATACTTATTACATATACTACGTATCGGTATACTTATTACATATACTACGTACGTATACGTACTTAATATGCTTAATATATTTTCAATAGTTCAAATAAAATAATGATCAACTATTTTAACTGTTTTAGATTAGTGGCGATCACGGGCGTAAATCTTGAAAAAATAAAAAAGAAAAAGATTTACTTTGCGACATCCGACTCTTACAGCCCACTAAATATATTTGTCCATCCATTCCACGTAAAGATTACACAATCACTTAAACCTAAAAATTTTAATATTAATTTAGGCACCGAACAAATCGGTATGTGATTATTTTGCAATTATATATATATTTGAATCGTCTTGTTTCCTTGATCTCATATAATTTTGTTCTTTTAGATAACTTTTAGACAAAGAAACTCTTCTTCATTTATCCATTCCGGTTATGCGAGGATTCGCAATGTTTTTTACGTGCTTTTGGTTGTGCTATATTTATTATTATCGTTCTTGGATACTTTTTAATGCTTTTAGATGCTTCATAATGTAGATTCACATGGGTAAGGTGCATAAAGCTCTATCTTTTATGTATCTCATCGCGCTCCATTTTGCAAGCAGAAAATGTTAAGCGCGCCATTGTACTTCCATAAACCATTCTATTTTCCCAATTAATTTCATTTTGGTCTTCTTTTTTTGAGATTCAATTTTGTAATTATTGAAAGTATGTATCTGGTACATATGCCTGCAAGATTGTTTTTTGCATTATTCTCACGAATGCTATCTTTTAAAGAAAATTTATTAAGCCTCTGTACGTAGTCTTATTTCCCTACGTTGGCACTCTCTTCCTTTTCTACTCTTCTTCTCATCGATCTTTTTTTTAAAAAGGAATTGGGAAGTTGAAAAAAAAAGTTTAATTAAAATATTTGCGTGATAACGGATAAAAATGTTTTTATTACCTAATCATAATTAAATGGTCTTGTTTCTAAAAAAAAATGCTGCTTAAAAAAATGCTGTTTAAAAAGGAGAATATTCACGGAGTGTTTCCTTTGTGCATAGTAACTACTTACATTAGTTAGATGATGTTAGTAATTGGTTTAGCACAAGTTATGTAAAGAACTATTAGTGGAAACATCTAATGGTCCGATAGTCTCTTATGTGAGGAGGCGTATCTGAATCCAAGAAATTAAGGAAATGTTTGGCTTACGCATAACTTTTTTGAATAATATCGATTTAAAGCTTTGTGCATAAAGAACAATGTATTCTAAGATAAATCGATCAAATTCTACTATGATCATAGCTACAAACAATGTCTTATAAAAAGTTCGAATCGCGATCATTGTTGATACGCGTATACAGTCATATGTTTAGTACAATACGTAGTAGTTATTCGATTCATTTCTACGTATTTACATTAAAGTGCGGATCACGGTACCCAGATACAATATATTTCACGAAATCCGAGTGATATACTATATGAAACAATTGTTTTACGTACGTACGTACGTAGAATATATCTTTCAGACACTATGCAAGGACATGCGGATATGGGTGTTTCTAAAAAATATGCATTTAATAAGTATTGTATACATCCCTTGAGATAGCAGCAAATCACAGAATCCGCCGGACCATAACATCACGGTTTGTGTTGTACTTACGTACGTACGCACTAAATATTTGTACATATTAATGTTTTATGACAATCTATATTACTAGATGAAAATTAGATCAAATGAATCAGGAATAAGTTTTGGATCCTTTGATCTATCTTGGCAAACCGTTATCTGTTCTGTTATGCATTCTCAATAAACAGGTCCATTATATTATGTTGAGCTTATTTCGGAAGAAACATTGGTGTCAAAATCTCAATCAAAATACAGAAATAGGATAAATTTATTATCGTTATGTTAATAATATCGTATTAAATTTTTTATATATTTTCTTTATATTATTATTCAAAATGAATTTACTTGTAAATAAATATATACTGCAGTACTGTATAACAGAAATACCAATTTTTAATATTTGATATTTAAATTAGATAATGATACGTAGTGATATTATATTTGTTATGTATTAAATGTATTAAATTTGGGTATTAAATGTATTAAATTTGGGTTTTCAAAGTTTGGCTACGTATCATATTTACACTCCTAAATTATTTTTCGCATTCGATTACATGAATTATTAGTTCTCTTTAAAAAATTGTATCTCAAAATAACGCCCGTGGGCGTTATTTCGCGCAAATACGGTAGTCGATTTATGGCTAATTTTAAATGTTTATATTAATTACAGATCTTTTTATTTTCTATAAGCATTTTCTTATTTTAAAATTACCATTATCATTATAAATATATCTTTTAAACTATTAACAGAATTGCCTTTTCACGTAATTTGATACGTACAATATTCCAAATAATTTAGTTTAGAAAATTAAATAAAATAAAAAACTCAAAAATACAAGATATATTTTATACTAGGTAAAATAAATGCATAGCATCGGATGTCTGGAGTGAGTATTAAATTAAGGTTTTGTAGATTTCATCTCGCCGACGGTCATTTTACCGACAACCCATTTCCCTGCACGAACCTCTAGCATAACCACCAAGATCAATTAATATGACGACTTATGTAATATTAATAATCAAAAACTTGATTTCCTTTTCTCCGTATCTGAATACCAAAATTTTTTTGTGTTATATACCAAAAATCAACCGGCTTATTTGAAGCTAACGCTAATAAAAAGACCTGTATTAAACGGTTAAAGGGGCATAGATTCAGGCGTAATAATTTTTAAAGAAAATGGAAATCTTATTATCAAAACTACAGAAAAATGTCAATAGATAAGAAGCAGTGCATATTTCTTTGTTCTTACTTTTTGATAAGCGAAGATATATTTATTTATTATAAAATTTCTATACCCGTTAATTAAAATTCTAATAGTTTAGATTTAACGAAATTCGAATTATTCTCTTATTATAGAAGTTGAACAACACAAATGAGAGATAATTCGTACATTAATACCAATTGATTATTTGAATACAAATTCAACTATTTCTGAATATACGTAATCATATAGCTGAAACGGATAAAGCATATACTAAAAAATCTGAAACTGAATTAGAAATTGTAGAAAAAACCCATCACAAAGTATAATATATTAATAGTACTTTATTCACATAGAAGTTATTGGATATACACATAATCTCGAAAAGTATTTTGACCCTTCATAAAAAAAAAACTTGACGTCTAAAAAATATTAATTCAAAAAATAAAAGTATGCAAAAAGTCTTCCAAAAACATGAAACGGAAAAAATAAAAATACATTCTATTGTCTAAATAAAGGATCGTGTTGACCATTTTTTTCATACCAGGAAATAAAGTCGTTTAAAGTATTTTTGTAAACAATAAACATTTTAATAGAATAAAAAATTATTAACTTGGAAATTTTTTTTTCTTAATAAAATTTAAAA